TATATATATATAGTTCATATCTTTCAAATTGTAGTAAACTACCTGTTTAAATATATGATACTCCAACGATGAAACTAAGGATTCTGCAAGCCATCCAAATCCATTCGATTCAAACAAGTTTAATACGTACGATGTTGACTACCCCTACAGACTGCTATGATTTGACCATAGGTTGCCTCGATCGTTTTTCTCCACCAGATAATACATATAAACCTCTCTCGTCCAAATGTTCATCAGAGGTATAAATATTGAGATAAGGAAAGTTAGCTTGTAAATTTCTCAATATTCTTACAAATTTGCCACCTTGAAGGCTTTTAACTTCATCCGTTAAAGATAGTTGGGAATCGAAAGCAATAGCCTTAATACATTATCTGACAGGAAACAAATGCCTTGCTTGTTTCTGAGGAATTGCCCCGGATCTTTAAAATTCGATGCCAGCAGCGGCGGCTTCTATAAGGCTAGGCCTTATAAAGGCTATTGCTAATAACGGTGAGGTCAGACGCCTGCTGAAGTCTCTGTGAGCACAATACTATCGAAACAGCTTTTTCATCTATAAGACAAACCACATATAAAAGCAACCGTCTCCTAGCCAAAATTAAATGAAAAAGTTGCCGCATACTCGACAGCTTGGTGAACCAGCTATGTTCTAAGGCCTTGTGTCAGTGACAAGTACCTGCTAATAGCGGCGGAAAGCCAGATTCCAGTGTCAATGTGGCCAGTGCATTACACCGGATTCCGCGAGGCGTAAGCCGGTACTTGTATATACACTTGGTGACTGGAGGACACTGACTGGCAATAGTGACAAGATTTTCCATGATACTGACTGAGGACTGATCAAAAAGACTACCGCAAAACTTCTGAAAATCTAGAGTTCTGCTTGTAACAGCAACACTGTAGTGTAAAATATTCAACCAGTTTCGCTAGACTCTTTTTAACTGTGTTTTTATTAGAGGAAACGACAGAAAAAATCATTTAATATTTTGAGTATACCAGAGCGCTTACGTCGAAGTGTACATCATTAAAATACGGATCATATGTTTCAAATTAAACTTTGTGCTCCTTAGAATTTTTCACTAATTTTATTTGCTGTACCAACGTAGTAACAACGATTTCAAGATGGAATTGATTTCCCTGCTAATCCGCTGATATCTATATTAAATGATAGGAACTTCTTACTCACGGAGCGGTTTTGCTTTTCCTGTAATTCTTTTGTTGCTTTTTCTGTAGGCTGTTTCAACTAGCCAACAGAAGTTTTTCGGCTTCGCTTGGTATCGCCGCAGATTTGCTTGAATCGAACGTCACAGAACACCACGAAATCATTGCTATTATTATTACTATAGTAGTTGGCTATCGCCATTGACGCCACACAATGTAATCAACTGGTTTGGCCGGATTCGACCCTTGATATTTGCAACTTATTCGATACATTTGTGTGTCTTATTGGAATTTCAACAAGATAAAAATTGAATATTTAGGTTTATCAATCGACCTAACCCACTGCTAATTTTCCTTTATTAAAAACAATGAGTTGTTTTTATCTTGCTGAACAAAGACGAACACTTCGCGCTCAAATGAAAAGACGAAACAATAAAGAAGACGAATGGAACGTTATATATATATATATATATATATATATATATATAGCCAAGGACAATTCTTCTGTTCGTGTCTTTTATTTTCTTCTTGTTCTGAGTAGCTGTAGCACCGCCACTGAATGAATAATTAATACAAATTTTTATACAAATTCATACAAGCGGCGAATATGATTGTTAAGGATATTTCAGATCTCCCTCTCTGACTCGCCACTGCTCCTGACTTCGCTCGTCGAAATTAGCAGGGGTCGGCAGGTAAAATTGCTGCATACACACTGAGAAACTTAAGGCGTTATTTTATAGCCCAGAAATAAATAGCTTCGAAAATTAAGCACTGGTGTATGATCACACGGCAAGCCAGGGTCATAATTGTGTGCTTTTGAAACAAAAAAATGTTTGAAGTAGGATCAGATGTTCTTAAACTATTTCCAAATACGTAGTCAAAACTACGCTTTAACACGTTAGTTCTGGAATCACCTATAGTATTGTCAGCACTTTATAAACGCCTTTACGAAATAAGTTTTCTTCCTGTAATCTTGTTGAAAAAGCAGTAAAAATAACGACTATTCAAAGTCTAATTTTCTTTAGCACGAAACCTATGCTGTACTTAGAGGCCAGACTTGGTATCAGAAATAGGATCTATGTTTTGACAAACCTTTTGTTTATTAATTATCTTTTTTTTAATTATTTAAAATTAATCATATTTTTAGGTTCTATCTCGAAACAAGAAGCCAAAAGTTATTCTAAAACAGGGGTGATATATTATCTAAATTACCTGCAACAATATCTCCTCATATATAATTTGGCTCACGTAATAGTGCAGTGGTAATGTGATCGCCTACTTAACCTAATCCAGGCATGGACACACTTTGTTTTGTGTTGAGAGCCAACCGTCTGGGCTCAAATACCAGCCATAAAACTCAAAACATTTACATATTATCTTCATCGTAACTGTTCAGGTGACGTGCTGTGATATCACCTCAGTTTATCTTCGCCATAGATTTTCTAGCTATGTATGAATTCGAGTTCGATCAGCAAAACTTAGATGCTACCGCCACGCCATTTCCAAGGGCACTGTAGCAATTACGTACAACAGAAACGCGCACCTTTTATATACTATCAAGTCATTTGTCCAGCATGATACTATTTTGCTCCAATTTTTACGTTACAGACAAGTTGCCTTGAGACGAGACGCTGTTCACAAGTACGGAAAATAGTATTTCTTTCATAATAGACGTACATTAGAAAGTTTGGTTAATCTAGCATTTATAAGCAGACCGTTCTTAAACCGTGTAGCTTCTGGCGACCTACCCGCTGTCATGCGCCGAGAATGGACGCCATATAGGTGTTCTCTTTGTATTCACATTCACATAGTATATACCAAACTAACACGTTTCTAAGGTATCAAACAATCATAAGTAGTTTTGACTTTAATGCTTTTATATAACTTTTATATAAAACTTTTACTAAATTGCAGGAGCGAACTGTATCTTCTTCTAAACGTTTATGTGAAGCTCTATTGCTAACTATAACGTATTTTGACACCTCAGAGGACTCGTTTTAGATATATCTTAAAACAGAGAAGCAATTCGTTATAGTGAGTATCTTCATTCCCGTATCCGGATTCTATAATTTACTATACTCAAGCCTTGAAACAGTCGAAAATCAATCAACGACTAAGATAAGTGCACACACCTTTAAGATCGATAACGTCGCTGAAGAAGCTGGCGTACACAGAACCAGCCACCAGTGGCAAGATGACCACTGACAGGACAGAACTTGGTGACCTCATTTTGCTAACGACCTTTCCTTGATGGTATACTTGCCTCCTATATAAGATTCTTCCGCTTCTCTTTCCGGGAGAGGTGCTATGATCGGCGTTACAGTGTTGTTTACTTTAAATTTATTCAGAACAATTTGTTAAATTAAAGCATACTCGATCTATTGCGGCACGAACATGTATTCCCAAAGCGGTTCCAGTGGTGTTTTTTAGTGTCGGTTCTCCAGTACAGCTCTTGTAGTTGGGGCAAAAAGGATAAACTCTTTGATAGGTCCTTCTAATCCATTAGACATGCTTGCGCTCCTTTAAACAATGCTTATTTTACGAACGACCTTAAACACTCCGTCAAGTTGCTTCACTTTGATTCACTTGATTTAGCAAACTAGCACTTTGAGTTACCTAATCCCATGGACTGCGAAAGTAGAGAAATGCAATGCTAAGTGTCCATTCTGCACTTACATCTACTGCACTCCTCCGTCAATAGTTTACGAATCACAACCTAAAGCACATCGAGATAGATTTAAACATTTTCACCAAAGCGTTCTCTCGTGGTGATAATTTTTTAAGCTATTCCTTAGAACGTTGTTACACGAGAACACAATATTTCACAAAATACTCACATATTTATGTACTGTATCATAACGCAGACACGATCTTCTTCTGATTATCACCATCTTCATGATTATTACAATTTTATAGTTTTGCCGACTAGCTTACAGACCGTTACGTCAGTAAGCAAACAAATTTTCTATTACCGAAGAAACGTGCGAGTTACCTCAGAAATGTCCAAAGGCAAAGTTATGTTTGTGTGACAAATTATGCAGTAGACGAAGAACTGTTTTAGCCATCAGCGGCACAGGGTAAAGTGTGGGAGATGAATTGCATTAATGAAATTGGCGGATCGTCGAAGTGATACAATTCCTGATTTTCTAACTACCGTGGCCTCTTTCAGAAATAGACAGAGATGTCGTAACTCTCACTCAGGCGTGACGTATCCGGGTATAAATATTAATAACCATGGTTTGTACTAGCGCAACTGTAATGGATACATTGTGATGGTACTTTCAAACGCACGTTCTTCGGTAGTGCATCTGTGGCCTGCTGTGCAACTTCCCAGTTACGCATTGCGGGGCATGATGACAAGAAGAGAAGCGCTCGGAAAACGCGCTAGCGACCCGCACGGAACCAAACGCTATAACTTCAGTCACCGTTGCCTTTAACGAGGGGCTTTCAGTTTCAATTTCGGTTAGTTGCTAAAACCTCCCATCCAATTAGACGCCCTCATCGGTCCGACGTTAGTCTTGGCCTAAAAATAGTTACGCGGCAAAATAACGACCTCCTTTTCTTAAATGATCCTTAATGCATTCTCTGAGAGAAGCATAAAAACACAGCCACAGTCATACGCTTCGGGGCCGCTATTCGGAAGGCTCGAGCTGCAGGATCATTCGGCTTGTTTTGAATTGCTGGTATACCTGATCGGACTTCAATGTATGGCCACTCCACGAACGTTGTGCATTCAAAATAGTTACTCTATAACGATGCGTAGCTAATGAAATTTCTTTTGCGGACTTTCGTAGTTGATATGGCTTCCACTATTGTTTTCGTTCGCGGAGAATGTCCGATTGGGGTCTAGTAGGGCCAGAAGCCAACTCACTCATCATTTCCTCGCGAAGGAAGAAATACTCAGCAACGCTTTGTCGCCAAGACCAGCACCGCCATAATGCTAATACGTTTACGACGCATGCTCACACAGTGATAACACTGTCAACTCATATTTTTTGATAACTTCCCGATACTGAATGCGCTTCCTTACACTGTTCCGTCATTGCATCTATGACACCACTAATTGCTAATTCCGATCTTTTCCTCCTCTTCGGCAGTAACATGAACTGCGTCGTTCACTGTTCAGTGCCTCTTAGCAGGCTACCTGTGTGCAGTGAGGACGGCAAACACGGCATAACGCTGCTTAAAGCCAACTGAGTTGCATCTCTTCGTTACTGACTGGAGTGCTTGTTTCTTCTGTGTACTCTCGTGGAAGAAGAGAGCAGCAACCGGAAAACCGTTGTACGAGCCCCCCTGTGCTGCACTCGGTTTCTTAGTTCCCTTTTGCTCGCTGTCGTTTTCTCGTCCGAGCGTTCTCAGTTGACTTCTATCCTCTTCATTCACACACATACACACGCTTTCTTACTGTGCTGTCTTAATGCCGCGTCGATGTTGGGTCACCGTCACTCGCCCCACCAACATAACCGAGTGAAATGTGAGGTGCTATATGCTGCCTCTTATTTGTCTACACACGTTCAGTTGGCCACAAGACCTCTTCTACGACGAAGACGGCTTCTACTGTCCGCGCGCGCTATTATTGTGGGTCCTGCTGCTCCTGCTGCTGAGGCACCGACCGACCGACCGACCGACCGACCGACCGACCGACCGACCGAGCGAGCAAGCGAATGAGCAAGCGAGCAACCGACCGGCTCGTCGGGGGTGAGGGGCGGGAAAGGGCAGTCGCCTCCCTACACCGCAACCACGACAACGACGGCGGAGACGACCACGGCGGCGGCGGCGGCGGCGGCGGCGGCGGCTGCTGCTGCTGCTGATGCAGCCGCTGTTACTTTTGCGTGATGTAGAGGAGGGTCGGGTGAGGGAAACACTACTGCGAATGCTTCGACTGCTGCCGGAGGCCACGAACTGGATCCTACTGTAACTACTGCTGCATCAGCAACAGCTGCAACAGCAGCAGCAGCGGGACAGGGCAGGGAGCCAGCAGTGTAGAATGTAAAAAACAGTAGATATGTGGTGTTGAACGGCTGCGAACGGGCGACACAAAATAGAGAGATAGAAGGCTATACAAACATGGACTAAGCGAGTGATGAATAGCGCCTCGATTAAGCGGACGGACAAACGGCATGGTGCAAATGTAAAGCGCGTGGGTGATGTACTGTACAATCGGGTCTGTGTGATCGCCATTACTAAAGCCGCCATTGTGACTATGGGTAACTGAAATTACTGTTACTGCCACCGCCAGCTTTTTGTGCGGCATCCTCTCCAGATAACCGTATTGTTACTCGACATAGAGACGATTTGCAATAATACAGGGCAGAAGAAAAATATTCGATAGCATAATCAGAAAGTTTACGTTGATTAATTCATTAATGATTGACAACGTTTCAACATTTTGGTTAATTAAGTCAAGTAGATCCATCATCTGTCACCACCAGTACTTTATGATCAAGAAACTCCTAACCTTACTACTATCGACATTTTATCGTTCAGCCGATAATAAAAAATATCCCACTTTTAGGCTGGGATGTAATACGTCAGGCTTGTTGTAGGTCTTACAACGAATTTGTGGTGTTTGGTGAGAATTTTTGATTTTGTGCAGTTACCAATTCCGTCTAGGTAATCAAAGGTCGATTACTAACTATACTGACTTGTTAGTTGCTAAATAATTACACATATGGTCAAGTACCGCATTAATTAATATAATGATATCACTGTCGGGTAGTTCACTCAATATGCAGCACTTACCCTATCCGAAATAATATAGCTGTGAAGAAAAAACCCATTTTCTGATATTTACTCTACAGTGGGACATTAGTAGATTGTTCAGATTTCACAGACGAGTCGTGCCAGATGTCTCATTTGTTACTGTATTCTACATAAAATGTAGCGTGAAAAAATACTTTGTTGGAGACCGTTACTCAAGTACGGATTTTTGAGGCGGGAAAATTAGAATTTTTAGAGTTTCCTACCGTTTCAGATATTGGGGAAGAAGTTTTAGAAGTTACTAAGCCACGAGGTGGTTCAGTTAAAAACAGACGAAGTCTGGCGTGAATTCCGCTGTAAGCGCACGATACAGAATATTAATTTGAGTCGGCAATGCTACAACAAGCATTCAGAAGAAGAAGAAGAAATTGTTTATAGGCTTTATGCCGCCAAATCAAATCAGCCTGCACAAAAGGAATTATGTTTATAAGTAAAGGAATATGTACAGTGTGAATAATCACAATAACTTTGTGTACTTAAAGAGGGACATGTGTAGACCTCGTTATAGAAAAGAGAAAAAAATTATTGATTTTTGCATAGATGTAACTTTGCGAATGTATAATATATATGACTGTATAATCTCACATTTCTTACAAACACACTAGAGGGAGATACAGTACCAGCAGATTGGTTAATAGATAGTGCACCGTTCATGTCAAAGGACGAAGAGAACAATTCGTAACTATAGAATATATCTTCTGACAGTTGCAAGTATGAAACACTGCTAGAAGATTAGAGAACAGGCTACAAAGTGAGGCGATCTCTCTTTGTAATCAAATAAAAAAAAAATTAGAGATTGAGTTTAGATAGATTTTTGTTTATATTAGGTCCTTATCCCGCTCCCATCTAGTCTAGCGCCTAGTAAGTCCACTTCACGCTGGGCTGTCCAGATCTCCCTGTGGTCCCTTCGCGCGCGTGCCAGAGTTCCAAAAGCAACTGATGAATTGCTTAACTTTGCACATTCGACGCCATAAGAGTGCAGCACGAATCCACGACATCAGACCCACATAATTAGGCCTACCGCCATTGCAAAGCACACTCAGTTGTCGTTATTGTATCCGTTGATATCACAGCTGATCCCACAAAGTCGAGCAGTCAACTGATTTTCACACCTCGATTCTCATCCTCCAGCGGCCGATTCAGAATTTTTTCAAAAATGTAAACAAGTCTTCGAAACTACCTATTGTCGGCACAGCAACAGACTGTCGCCGTTAGGTGTATAATCGGAGTAGATCTTGCTAGGCTAGTCTGCGGTAATAATAATACCCTATCCTCCAGGATTTCTTATTTTCCTTTCAGTCCGCACCTTTCTGATCATCAATGTATGCTAATCATTTCTGCTAATGCCATGATTTGAACCAGCGTAGCATCATGCTTGTTAGTTACGGCTATCATCACAACGCACTTAAGGAGATGCGCACTGTCCAGTCAAGCCACCTCTCTTCCATTTCGCAAATATCTTGTCAACGGACCAGGAAGGGTGGCACTTCCTACCGTAAGTCCGTACACATAACAACAGCGTAAAAAAAAACACGTCATCAGCTGGCCTACAGCTTTGTTTATGTCTAGGTGGCCCTAATGACAGGTTGAGAATATAAATGCCTTTGCTGATTTTGTGAGTTTGTTGTTTGATCTCGTCCGACTAGTCTGACGTGGTTGTAGACGAATATGCTGACAGTCAATCCTTTTAGCATACCCGCATTACTCTCGCCCACCGAGGACTGGCTGGTTGGATGCCCCGTGATTGATACACCCTGGAGGGTACTTTCAGTGGCGGGCATACGCGTTAGTGAGTCCGCAGTATGGCCTATGAGTCTCGCAGCGGCAATGGAGCTGGGACCTTCCGTTCTAGTTTGCTTTTTCTTAACAATTTTGTAATTTGCTGGCATTGTGCGTTGATTTTATCCTGTTTTGGAACAGCGATACGTATTCCCTCTTAAGTGGGAACGCCTCCGGGAATGAGCGTCGGGCTTTTTCGGCGTATAGTCTCAGACCGCTCGAAGCAACTAAGCGTAGTAATTGACTCTAGCCGTTTTGATGAAGTCTGTTGGTTTCGTGATTTTTCGGACGTCAACTAAAAGCATGTTGATTTCGACCTTAACTTCTAGTTCATCCACTAGTGTTTGTTTAGCACACACACTCGTTCCTCCTATAGCCACAAAACAATTGCTCGGGCCATTTGGCTTCTTTTGGAAGAAAAGGTCGTGGAGACTCTCGTTGAAGCGATGTTGTGTTACACGCACGCGAGTTAAACCCGGCCGGAGACATCCTCCACAAGTACAATTGTGCTTTTAGCATCATCTGATCGATCAAGCACCTCTAATTCTTACTAAATAGTTTCTCTCCGCTCATTTCTTTGGGCGGGCCTCGTCAAACATTTATGTTTCACGGTTGCGGATGAATCGGCATACATACACGTTCATATCGCAAGCCGCTGCACCCTAAATAATGCTGTACCGCTTATAAGATACACGTATCTTTTCAAGAATGGACGATATAGCCTCCTGAGCCTATTTAAGAACGAAAGCCTGATTCTTTCGGGTTGTGTTGGTGAGGGATACCTTGAACATTGTAGAAAGCAACTGCGGCCACTTATGCGGGACTAACCTCGTTTGGAAAGAGTCTTAATTGCGTTAGAATGCTTCTACTCACAACAATCGTTTATCGTATTCTAACTGCTCGCTGTGAGGGTTCGGCCGTTAAACAACAAAATCCCGTAGGCGTTTGAAGCTATTCACGCACTTCAAGATCATTTTGTTCCTGTGTAGAGTGTCAGATCAGTAAAGCGGTTTCTATGACAAAACTTCACGATCTCTATCTGGCTTAATCAGTAATCCAACTCCTTTGTCTTCAGAATAATGAGTAAGAAAAAAATGGTTGAGGTTGTCATAATCGAAAATCTACAAATACAATCAGTCGAAACAGCAGTGAAGTTGTTTTGTTTGAATATTGCACCAGCTGCCACATACGGTGTCCCAATTCTTTGGGAAAACGTAAGTTTTTGGTATCTATTGAGGAAGAGCAATCGGCATTTTTAAAAGTGGTACTAGATTTTTATGCAACAACTGGTACTTTTGTTGACCGACATTACGATGTTTATCAAAAACACTCGAAAATCATTTAGACTGCCGGAACCGAAGCGTATAGGGCATTTACACAAACATAAGGTAAAAGTTGGTCGGCAAGTTGAAACAAGTAAGTAAATGTAATAATCAGTATATAACACGGCTTATGGTGCACAGGTTTCATCGTTTCATACGCGAAACCCAACAAAGGTTCGTGGTATTATTGCGTTTGCAAACTTCGTAAAGCTGTCAGCTTTAGAAATTATCGTTTAAGTGTTTATGTTTTAGGCATTACGATCGGTATCGTCGTTGGCTAACTAATCGGATTCGATCGGTGTTAGGTAATCTATGAACTTTTATATCTAGTCAGATATATGATACATATACAGGCGCATGATTCTACCTTATAACGTTTTGTTATCTACCTTATATCGTATATCTATACCAAACCAAGCGAAATAGATGAAACTAATAATTTAGTGCAGCTAAACCACATCTTACGGACTGCACAACCACATGTAACAGGACTACGCTTTTTGATCAAACAAGCGTGTAATACGTGAAAGGCGGCAAAGGTTATCTGTAAAGCGACCCCTTGTTCTCTCCTTTGTCTTCTGTCTTCGTAGCAAAAAAGTCGAGGTGTAAGCTTCATAACCTTGAAATACCTAAATTATGACACGTAAAGGGCACATGATGCAGTACCGGAAGGCCGAATTCTCATCCAGGTGGCACAAGACGACTCCCTAAAGAAAAGGCGATCAACACAACTTAACGACGTATCTCTTTTTTGTATTCTACG